AAACATAGTTTTGATGCTTGTAAAATCATATCAGCTACTTATTAGATTTTGAGTACCAAATCTTAAAAAGATACTTCTTGGACAAGTAGGTACCATATCCTATCTACAGATCAAATTCTGCATGTGGATTACTAAACATTTGAGTATTCATGTTCATTTCAGGTTGTTTCCAAATCCTAGATAATAAAAGGTCTTCTAATAAATGGTCAAGTCGATCCCATCTTCTCTGCAAGTTTTCCAAAACTCCTTAAAAGTTTTGAGTAACACAAGATCATTCATACACATTCATAGATTTAATTGGCTTGAATCCATTTTCTCATGCACTTGATCTTCACAATAAGTCATTGCTTAAGATACCATAAATTGGCAAGTCAAGCCACATTATGTTACATATCCAGGATCCCCTGTGATTCATCTAACCACCAAAAAGTCATGTGATCAGTTTGCTGAGTCAATCTGGTAAAAATTTGGAAGGATGATAGTGAATGACAAAGGAAGTATTTATGAAAAGCAAAGTTCAATCTATTACTTAAAAGCAACTCCACAGTATAAAAGCTGTTCATCAAATATATTAAAAAATATATAGAATGACTGACCAAGAAATAAAAAAAAGTTGTAGCACTAATTTGTGGAAGCATCCTGCAGCAATAGAAATTAAGACTCCAATTCTTAATGTAGCTGAAATTATAAAAGTCAGAACTTCTTGTTGGTCTAACTTTAAGTCTAGGGTATTCACTATTATGCATCTTGAGCATAGTGAGGAAAGACTAGAATTCTAAAAGCATCAAGGCAAGAAGCTTAACGTACAGTGCATATACAAATGTTTAAGTATGTTAGATTAACATGACTTTGCAGCCTCACCACATTGTTACAGTCCATGTATCTTGAGAAGAGCCCTGCAGGATAGTTTTCATTGCAAAAGGTAGTTATGACGAAATCACACAACTCCTCCTTGCAGCTTTCCGTAGACAATCTGGCATTCAAGGAAGTCAGTTTTCCAGCATCTGTTTCAACAGTCCAAATGTACAAAAATTAACAAGTGCTGCATCCAGCAATGTGGGTGACATCTGCATAACAAAGCTGTTGGAAATTGCTCTTTCACTGTCAATAATCTCAATATGGTCTTCAGGACATTAACCAGAGTAATCAATAGCCAAGTGGTAAGTAATACTTCCCGAGTCCTGTTTGCAGTCAAGTCAACCTGCAGAAGCACTGTAAACTGACCACACAATGCAGCAAAGCTCATTCAGACTTTTGTCATGATCAGAAAAATTGGCAGCAATCTTCAAATAAAAATCAGACTATAGCATATCTACTAACAATCATCAGGTTGAAATGTTACTAGAGTGGCAGAAGTGAACAATATGCTAAGTAAAACATCACTGAATACGACTTTTTTGATAGCAGTTCAATGGTGTAGTGACTTCAGTACGAATAGACTTGCAGATTTTACTGTCCTTCTGATGAATATATTCACAGCACAACAACATATTGACATGGTAATGGCCACAGCTATACAATCTTTGTCATGGTGAATGATCTTGCTCATGACATAGTGCAAGGATACAAAAGAATTATTTAAACAAGAAACTTCAGGAGTCATGAACTGGCCAAAAAGTAGTTCTGATATAAGCCTGGTTAAAAATCTCCAAAACTGAGACCTCCTTGCATGTGTCTTAATCTACCACATACCATCACAATGCATGGCATTGACTGAAGAATATTAAAGGACCCTCCATAATGTTGCTTACTGACTGATCTGAAGTACGCTTTACAGTTGCTGTAACTACATAAATACAAAAGAAGCCACAATCTTTACTAAATATTTCTATTTGGTCCAATGTGGCAATTTCAGACAGGCTAATTTAGTCAGACACCTACTCTGACCATGATATAATTCACAAAATACTTCAAACATAATTGGAATTCATAATATTTAGCTATAAAAAGGCAAAAAACCACAGTTCTAAAATAATGTTCATCATTCCCTCAGTAAATTTTTGTACAAATCAAATGCATGATTAGAGTGCATTTTTAAAATAGCTCTCCACATTTAAAACAAAACAAATATCCAATTTGTTTTTTGCAAGGTCCAGGCACAGTTTACAAACAATCTGGAGCACCCAAAGCTCTGTGATCTACTTCAAAGTAGGAAATAAGTCATGATTGTTTGAGACCACTATATACAGTACAGATAAATGGCTAATCACTACAAACCTGATTTATATAACATCCAACCAAATGGAAAGATTAATATTTTATAATAATGATTTTGCATTATCAAAGTCTAATATTACAAATTTCAATTATCCTTTACTTATTTTGTGAAATGTATTTTGTCAATGAAACTAGTTTGTTAACTGTACTGAGCGAGTAAATGGTACTCATAATAAACTTAACTTGAAAGCAAACAATCAAGTCTTGACTCTTAATTTTGAGCAGTATTCTAAATGTACATACATACACTACAGAATATTTTAACTCCTAAAGTTTCAAATGCAAGAAACTGCTGACACTAAAGTTGCCTTGTGCTATATAGATGAGTTGTGTCAGCATTTGTTTAAAATGCTTTTGTTACTCTCTATTATTGATACAATTAACATTCCAACCCTTTTCTCCTTAAATAAAGGATACAAAATGAAGACATTTAAATAATTTTTTATTAAGCAGATTCTCAAATACTTTCATACAAAATATAAAGTTTCTTTCTGTTGAATTTGTTTTTGTACCTACCTCATACCAAGTAGTAAATATAAACACAATTAACAAGGTGGGGGATGTTTTTCTTTTATTGAATATAGCTGAAATGAAATTAGTTTCTGGTAACATATATACCTTTCATTTAATACAGAAAATTTGGTTATCATTTCACATGAAAACTTTATTAAAACACAGCTACATTAAGAAAAGTAAATGAATCTAGTATTTTCATATACATGTACACTGTTAAGGAAAATACAATTAATGGTTATTACCTTAGTACTGGATGATATAATTGATTAACCGATTACCTATGAGCAACATTTACATTGATTATTGTCATATAGCTAATCAATCTAAATTAGTGTCATAAAAATAATCAACTAACTGAAATTAGAGTTTATGATTATTCCAATTATCCAATTAATCGCAATATTGCAACCAAACTTCCTAGTCCTGTCTTTGTTATGGCAAAGCATTTAACTATGGCTATCTGCCATTGTCAGTAATTTTGAACTGCTGACTAGAGGGAAGGAAATTGGCTGGCAACACTCACCATCAACAATTAATTTTTTCTTGTTGTTGAACTGCTGATTAGAGGGAAGGCTACTAGTTGACAGCCACCCACTGCCAATCTTTTTTTTGTTATGTTGTTGTTGCTGTTGAACTGCTTACTAGAGAGAAGACAACCAGCTTGAAGCGACTGTCAACTGCTTTTTTACTTTGATTTGTATAAATACTATGATTTGAAAAACTGTAATTGATTACTGGGCTGTCAATTAATTGATTAGCAGATATTACTAATAGCTCAGGTCTATCTATTAATATTTTATAATGTTGTATGATTGTAAGCACCCCACTAATAACTGTAAGGTGCCCTAAAGTACTTAGGTGTATTTAGTGCATGATGAAAAAAAATCCTATAATTAAATATAACACGAATTTCATCTTAATATTTAACAACACCAATTTTTAAACAGAATCCACCAGAAGAATTAAAATGTTTATAATATATATATTGTCCCCTGCACAGTACAAACACATATCTACAAAGAATCTGCAACAACATAATGTTAGTTATTGCTGCTGGTTGATAACACCTTAAAAAATTATCATAACCATTCACAATTTTATTTTAATGAGAGTTAAGGATCAGAAAAATAAGGAAACCTGAAATTAGGATCCTAAAAGTAGGAAAACCTATAAAGAGTTTTTGGAATAGATAGTCAGGGTAGGGATGAGAAATGTTTTTTCACAGACTTTCTATGGTTATGAGTGATTATAAAAATAGTTCAGAGGAACTAGAATTTGATGGAAAATATACATAAAAAGAATATTTACTGGTTAGAATTTTCTTAAATTCTGACAAGATGTTGAATTATTCAATATGGCACAAATCTCAATACTTGACTATATTTTTAAGAATACAAGTCATGCATAATCCTGTTTCGGACTGCAGAAAAAACCTAAATAAAACGTTAATATACAAAATTATAAATTTAAGTATCTAGCACCAAAAACAAGAAATCAAGCCCAAGCAAGCAAGCTACTACAATAGTGTTATGTTCTTCTTACATATATTTTATTTACGATAGATATTAAGAAAAGATAAATTTGGTTGATATTATTAAAAAATTTACATTTCAAGTAAGTTTTTTGGAACAAACTTTACGAGATTTTAGCAGTTAAACATAACCTTTGATTCATATCACACAGATAGACATTATCCTAAGCTGGTTCACGGTCGACAACAACCGTCAGAGTTAATTATAAGCTATAATGATACTATTTGCTTTACAGGTACCTTTTCATTAAATCCCACAAGGTATGCTTTAGTACAAAATTCTACATATACAGTTTATTAAACTTGTGGCAAGAGACAACAGCAGCTACTTAAAAATGTTACTAAGTTTTCACGATTAACCTTGAACTAAAATCCACTAATATGTGTTAAATTGTTTCTAATATATTATACTAAAAAAATTTTAATTTTAGATTCACAACTTCAACATGCTAGTGAACTAAAAAAAATAAGATGAGGAGTTACTTAACCCCAAAAACTTATCCTAAAAATGTTTTGCATTTCGACAAATCTTAAGGCTAGTATTAAAAAAAAAAAGTTTAAAACCATTAAGGGGCTAAAATTATATATATATTTTCCATGAATCATTTTTATGTAGGGGTGTTTAATACTGTTTTGTAAGAATAAACAGCTTTCTTTAAGAATTAAATTTTGTAAAACAAAAACAAACAATAAATCACAGAGACAAGGGTTAAATTTAGATCCCACTTATACTTACCAGGTACAAAGTCCTATGGATTGGACTAGTAAGGTGCTCAACTAGATTTTTTCGGCATAAGGCTTTGTTGCAAAGGATACAATCAAAACGTTGGAATTTTTCCCATCTACTCTGCCACAGTTCTATCACATATTCTGTTCCTAAAAGCAAAAGTACACACTTTTATAATAAGTTTGGTTATCATTTAAGATGAATTTTTAACAAGAGAATATATATGCATATATATATGTATTTAAATATATTACCAGACCAACTTACTTTAAAAATAACTTTAAAATTCTTTTCTTTTAATAAAATATCATATAAATTTCAATAACAAAAAAACAAACATTATAACATTATACATTTGACTATTATAAAAAGAATTCAATTTAAAAACTGCATTAATAAAACATTCTTGTTAATGGATTTTCTGAGTCTGATTTCAAATCTATTTTTTAACTCTCGACTAAAGATTCTCTTCTCCTCTTTAACAATAGTCTATATGAGCAAATAGATGGCGTTGCAGTGAGCTCCCCATTGGGTCCTACGCTAGCCAACACTTTTCTCTTTCACCACGAACAGAACTGTATTGACGAATGTTCATTCAGCTTCAAACCTATTCTCTACAGAAGGTATGTTAATGACAATTTCCTTATTTTCCACCATATTGATCATATCCAACACTATCTTGACCATCTCAATTCACAACACCTCTCTATACACTTCATTCATGAAATTGAGACTAATAATTCAATTCAGTTTCTGGACGTTCTTGGTAACCATGATGCTAATGGCTTTTCAACTTCTGTCTATCGTTAAAACACATTTACTGACCTTTTCATTCAGTTTGACAATTTTATACTCTTCTCTTTTAAAAGCTATCTTATTCTCTGTCTACTTAGAGCATACAAACCTCATCATATTCAACCCTTCACAAAGAAATTACTTCCATAAAAAATATATATTTTTTTTAATGGCTACCCTATGCATTTCTTGGAGAAAATAACTTTCTCATTCCTAACTAATTTGTTTGTCACACCACCTAATATACCCACTGTACCCAAACTTCCCTTTACACCTGCTTACCATATCTTGAGAGACAGAGCTCCCTTATCATGAAATAGTTGAAAAAGTTATGTAACACTTAGTATCCCCAAATTGACATGAAAGTCATTATGAAATCCAACTTTACACTAAAAAATTTCTTCCACTACAAAGATCATTTGCCAACTGCCCACTGTTCACATCTCATCCACTTATACACGTGCGGAGACTATAAGTCCTCCTATATTGGTGAAACCAAACATCACCTTAAAGTACGAGCATATCTATAAAAAATGGAAGAAAGGCTACAAACCCTCCCAATTCTGCTATCTATCAACACAACACAAAAACAGGACATTCAATTTCTCTCGCAAATTGTAACATTCTTTCAACAGCCAAACATGATACTGAACTTCTTATAAAAGAAACATTATACATAAAAACCCTTCTCTCCTCCCTAAGTAACACAGTCTTCACTGGGATTTAAGCCTATTTTAACTATTTCACTTGTGCCTCAGTTTTCATTTTTTTGAGGTTATATTTGTATATTTGATTTGTTCATTTCTTATGTATATACTTCTGTTTTAACTACAAATACTCTTTGTTTGTTTTGTAACCTGAGATTACTGATGATGGAAACAATTCTGAAATGCTTAATAAATTCTTCCTGTTATTATGTTTGTGTTTTTTTTTTATCGTTAAGCTATATTTTCCGAAAAATGAGTTGATTGCAAATTCAAAAAAAAAAATCTTAAATGTGGATCAATATATAGAAGTTAAAATTACACCTTCATAACATGAGTTATAGCCACAGTTAACATCAGACAATTAGTGGAATTGATGATTGATTAATCACTGAGCTCATAATATGTTGTTAGCCATCAGGCTCATTAATTGCTTATACTCAGCTAAGTAATTATATTCACATGATAACTGGACATTTGAAATAATCAAAAATATTAAAATCAGAAACTAACTTCAAGTTGATTATTCACAGCGTTGAGATACTAAATGAACAATCTTGAATTAATCAAAACCTAAAAGATGCCCATTGAAATAATGCAATGGTAATATTCCTAAAAATAGTGATGAATGAATATAAAACGTGCAGTCGACACAATCCCTTAGATCATAGCGTACATGCAATGTGATTGTCTAGTGGGTCGTTTACAACTGTCTTTTGTGATTCGATGTGTTATTTTAATAAGGAAAATTGCATTGCATTTGTTTTTAAGCAAAGGAGACTGACTGCTATGCATTGTTGACAAAAATGCTTGCATTCCAATACAATGGGTACAGAGTGCTCAGGTTCACTAAGCAGCTGTAGGGATTTTTCCCACTGGATGTCACCATTCCTTGTCAAAGGGAAGAAATTCAATTCAATATATTTTACCATGCTACAATAAAATCATACATGTATATAATGCTGAAATAATAAAATGTATATATATATATATAAACTGAACAACAACAAATTCATACTCAAACACATTCCTCCATTTATGCATTTTTTTCCATTCATGCTCCTAGCTTCGAAATATTTCTTCAGTGAACGAAGGATATCCTATTTTATTTGTGAAATTCCCTCACAAAAAGAAACATTTTCATGCTTAATAAGTTTTTCTCAGATTGACCATTCAGCACATATGAAGACTGATGAATCGATGTTAATATGGGTATGAAATTTTATTAATTGCTAAAAGTGAATAATTTTCTCCCAATTTACTCTTGAATAGAAATATTTTGATAATGGCAATATTTTCATTACTTGGGCAGTTGGAATAATCAAAACCCTTATTTCAGTTAGTTGATTATTTTTGTGACATTAATTGATGTAATTAATGCCTATAGATAATCGATTATATCCACTGAGTTAATCACCCAACTCTTGCCAAAGTTGTAGCAAAAGTTCCTCGACATTTTTACTGAGGAATTACAATAAATTAGCTTGTGTACTTAGTAACATCCTGAAACATGTGATAATACCTAGAATATCTTTGAAAACACGTAATTACCAATTAATATGTCATATAATAATATTTTGTTCAACAAAGGAACAAGGTAACTTCCTATAATTAAAAAACTATTGCAATTCATAAACTTAACTTAGTGTATGCTGCTAGAAAAAAGGTATTTGTGAATAATTTCCATTAAAATTACAGTCCTCGTTTTTTACAAGCTTACAAAAATCATACTTTATCGTTTTATACTTCATATGAATTATGATGTTGGAGAATAAATATAGGAAATTGTTTTGTGGAACAAGATGACACAAAATTAGTTAAATCATTTTGCACTTGACTTTATTAAGTTTTAACTTCAATGGCTAAGTCATTGTGTTAGGCCTTATCGGTCTAAGTAACTGCTTGAATATGCAGAGGAAATAACCAAAAAGACGTGAAAACTTAAACAGTAATGAATATAAAAGGGGTTTAAAACTTATTATATGTATATTAAATGAAACTTTCTGAATAACAATATTAAAAAAGTTGGCTTTCCTACAATTTTGGCACAGTAAAAAAAACTATTCTTAATTTACGCCAGTGACTGTAAACACAATGAAACTCCATGTTGTTTTTTAATTCAAAATATAAAATTTACAGTTTTATAAAATAAAAACTGTAGGAAAGTTTCAAAAGAACGTACAAAGACATACAATTCAGTAATTAAAATCTACAACAAAGATAAGCATTTCTATTTTATAAAAAACATATAACAATGAAATCTTTTTAATATTTTAAAGCTACATATTCAAACAAATATCACATGTAAATACATTTTATTTGCAGAAGCTACATAATCTGTAGAAAATATTTCTGCAGTTTCAAATATCAGATATAGTATTTTTTTTCATAATGTGATGAGAAAAAAAAGGGGTTTCATAAAGTTAAACATCCAACTTCATATACCAACAGTCAAGGTGACCATTAACCCTCTCAGCACAAGTAGGTAAAAATGCACATTACAACCACTTTTCAGAGTTACATTCAAAATTTAATTAAATGTACTTTATTATCAATGTACATCAGTAATCTTGCCATTAAAAATATAGAGTTCAAATTTTAATACAAGTTCTAATTTCTTAATTTTAAAAGGAAATATTTAAATAAGTTTTTCTATCTTCACTTTCTGTATCATCCAACACTTCTTCATTCAGAACTACTCATTTCTAGATTTTTTGCTACCCTATGTAGACTTATAACTTTCCATTTAATTTCCCACTTATATTATAAATATCTCTGATCTAAACTGCCAAATTGTAACAAAAAAGCTTTTTGCTTTGTGGAGATATACACAATAAAGTGAAGACGCCACATGTCATTCCCCCTAGAAAGCATCCTGCTTTCAAAAATTTGCTATAGACTCTGACATTTGCTACTGTATTGTTTGTAAATAATAGAAAGTGAAGATTTTACTTAATTAACAGATAGGGTCTAAGGGTATTGGAATTAGCAGAGTTGAACATTTTTGGCATCATTTTCTTTGTTTGCCACTGTTTGACCAGGTATGGGAATTCTTTTAAGCCATTTCTATCTTAGTTAGAAGGCCAGTTATGTTAGTTTTAGGAATCTATTTTATATGGATGGAAATATTTTGTATTCTAAATTTGATGTCTGAATTTAAAAAATTAGTTTCTGAGGCAACATTATTGTCACTTTGAATTTGAACTAAGCTTTGTTGACTTTGATTAGAATTATACAAGTACTAAATTTCTTGTTTTTTATATATATTTTTTATCTATTGTTATATAAGTAATTAAAAAGTAGAAATAAACACACAAAATAGTCAGGTTAAATGATAGCACACATCAAGCAAGAAAGCAGCTATGTATTTGACATAAGAATACTGAAAAATTGATCTGTTATTCATATATAGCTGTCCAACATAATAAATAGCTAATGCCATAGTCTGAGAGGATAAAAGTTCAACTGTAAATAAAAAAAAGTAAATGAAAAATCTATTAGCCTAGGCAGTAAAAATAAATAATGCATAATTGTCGGCTACAAAGTGGAGATATTCTAGAATGAAAAATGGGTAATTTCGATTTTTGTTTTTTTTTGTAGTAGACACGAGGTCACTCAAATTGGCTGAGTCTATAGTGTTAGAATAAATA